AAAACAGACTTGCACAGCAGTTAAGCACCTGAACTTTGTAGCCAGGCAAGCTGGCCTCAAATTCTGGCTCCATTAACTAACTGGCTGTTTGACCTTGGGCAGGTTACCTAACCTCTCTGTGACTGTTTTCTCATGTGTAGACATGAATGATTAAAGCCCCAACTCATAAGGCTGCCATGTGATTTAATGAGGTAGTAATGCATATAAAGCTTTTAAAATTAGTGCTTGGTACCCACTAAGAGCTACGTATGAGTTTGCTCATATTTTTAGTTTTCAAAAAAATCTAGATTTGTGATTTTCTTGAAAAAACTGTAAGGTGTTGCAGCCTCATGCAACACTTGGTTGGATGAGGGTAGCCACTGCCCCTTCAGAGAGGGATGTGCCTGCCTTCCTGGGCCCACAGTCCCTGCCACCCCCTCTGCTTGGCTCTGTCATGTTGCCAGCCCAATCTCCTCAAGTGCCCTGTGCCTCCACCTGGTCTTAGGAATAAATATATCCATTTATGTTTACTGGAGCAAACATGCTAAGCTAAATATATCCAAGGGAACTAAATATATATCCATTTCCCAAAGTTGTAGCAGGAGTGAACAAGCAAACCCACCTGAAGCCCCTTCAGCCTCATGCTAGACATGGGCATGCACTGCTCATGAGTTCCCACCTGCTGAAAGATCTCACAGCCTGTTCATCTGGCCTCTGGGTGAGCAGTGCTTGTGACGGGGAGCTCACGACCTTACAGAGCAGCTCCCTTGCCAAGCCTGTCATATTCAGAGACAAGAAACAACATCCTCATCCATCGCCTTGCCTGAAATTCCATGTAGTTGTCCCGACGCTCCCTCTTCTGAAACCCTGAGCAGAGGGGCATGCGTGTCCCTTGGGAGCTCTGTGCCATGTCCTGTGTGTGGGATGGAAGCTTGGGTTTTAGAATGCCTCCAGAGAGTCTAGAGCCACAAGCCTAGGTGTCACGTGCTAGTGGTTCCAGCAAGGACTGGAGGAGTTGGTTGCACTACCTCTCTGTGCCTCTGAGCATGGGAGTCAGAGCTGGCCAGGCCCAGCTTTAACACTTTCTAGCTGCCTTGTAACTTTGGGCAAGACACGACCTCTCTGTTTCTGTTTCCTTCTCTATTTGGTGAAGATAGAAAGTCCCTCCTAGTCAATAAGTTGTTTAAGAATCTTTTTCTCTTCCTTTGAATCTTAGATCCTTGCTTATGAAAACAGCCATCCAGGAGGAGCCTGGCCATACCACACCCCTCCCCGCAGCCTCAGTCACCCTGACCCCAGGCATAGGACAGAAGGCTGTGTCTGCAGAGCCCACTCACTGCTTCCCCCTCAAGCTTTCCAGGATGTCGGACTGCCGGTCCCTCTTCTGAACCCTCTCCTCTCGGCTTCCAAAGTACAGCTCCTCACCCCCTTCCCTACTTCTCTAATCTTTCTCTGTTTGAAGGCAGGGCTTGAGGTGCCATTTTTTTTTTCTGCCCACTTTTGCCTGTGGGTGCCACCCAGTGCCTCCAACACCATCTTCTTCTCTCTTGAGGTGTCACCTTCTTCCTTACAAATCTACACGTCCCCTCCTGACTTCCAACTGGACATGAGAACATTTTTCATGTCCTCCTCACAGGCACCTCACATCAACAGTTAAAAACTGGTGTCCTTCACCACCTCCCTCCAAGCCTGCAAATGGTGCCATCTGTACCAGCAAAGTTGAAGTTTCTGAATCCTTGTTGCTCCCTCATTCTGACCCCCACACCACCCAGATGACTGCCAAGGCCTGTGGTGCCTTGTGCCCAGAAGGTCTCTCAAATCGATGTCCTAAAACACAAGACTGGTTCTGGTCTCATTTTCTCCTCCAGGCCATTCTCACGGTGCCCAGGAAGTTTCCTTCCTTTGAGACGTTATACTTTTCCTCAAGACAACTTTGGTCAAGTCTGAACATCTTAGCTTGGTGTTCAAGGCCAATGGTGGCAGCCTGCCCTGCCTGTCCAGCCTCATCTCCTCTCCCCTACCAAACACTCCGGGCCTTTAGGCCTTCCTCCTCTGCCACTGCTCCTGCCTAAGTACTCCCTTCTGCCTCCGTCCCTTCTGTCCTCCCCAGCCCCACCCAACCCAGGTTCTACCTTGTGCTCCCAGGGGGCTACACACCTTCCCTGGTGGATGGCAAGGCATCCGTGGTTGAATGTCTGCACAACTCCCACCCCCAGTCAAGGCACCACCCTTGAAGTCTCAGAGTCCTCCCTTTTTTCTCTTCTCTTCTCTTCCCTTCCCTTCCCTTCCTCCCCGCCCCCCTCTCCTCTCCCCCATTTGGGAAGACCATGAGCCATTTAAGCTTGATATGGTGGAAGAAAGGGGGTCTGAGAGCAGCTGGGACAGCTGGACACTGGCGCCTACTTCTGAGCGGGCTTGCGCACAGGCACATGGACGTCAGAGTGGCTGTGGGCCCATGCAGGGAACTATAGAATGAAAGGAAGACTGAGGCTGAAGGATGCCATGGTGGCTGGTGGTTGGTGGCTGGTAGCTGGTAACCAGAGGGGAGCGAGTGCTGTGGACCTGCCTAGCGGGGCCAGGTGGAGGCTTGTGCCTAGGTTGGGGGAAAGCTTTCCATGCAAAGAGGAGACAAAGCCATTCTCACTGCCTTCTTCTAGCTGGGAAAGAGGGCCCACCTCAGCCATGTTCCCCTGAAGACTGGGTCCCAGGGGCATGGAGAGACATGGGAACCCAGATGGGGTGTGGGCAGCTGGTTTGGGCTCAGGAGGCCTGCTGTGTGAGGGTGAGCTATTGTCATGGGAGGCAGACACCCCACATTTGGCTCTAGGGTGCTTTTGATGGGAGCAAGCTGGAGTCATTTCTCTCCCTACTCCATAGCCTTCAGTTCCCCCTCTCGCCCTGGTTCGGGTGGAAAGTTGCTCCCCAACCTGAGGACTGTGAGCCTGAAACCCGCTGTGCAGGGCTTGTTAGGGTGAAGAAAAGGCAATTGTAGGCTCCTGGAGGGCATCAGTGGTCAAATCAGAGGTGACAGAACAACAGGGGTCACCTGTACTAGCAGACAGCAGTCCCCATATAGAGGTAGGGGTGTGTGTGTGTGTGTGCGCGCTAGGATGTGTGTAAGAGAGAGTATGTGTGAGTGTGTTATGAGGGTGTGTGTGTGTGTGTGTGTGTGTGTGTGTGTGTATGTGTGTGATTATGGGAGTATGAGTGAGGGTGGGGAGCATGTGGGTGTGTGGGGATGTATGAATGTGTGTTAGTGTGAGTGTAAGTGGCTGTGGGGGTAGTTGTGGGAGAGTGTGGGTGTGAGTGTGGGATGTGAGTGTGAGTTTGTGTGATTGTGTGTGGGGGTGTATGAATGTATGTGGATATGAGTGTGTGCGTGTGAGAGTGTGAGTGTGGGATGTGAATGTGAGTTTGTGTGAGAGTGTATGAGTGTGAGGGTGTGGATGTGAGCGTGGGATGTGTTTGAGTGATTGTGGGTGTGTGTGGGATGTATGAGTGTGTGTGTGGGCATATGTGGGTGTGTGTGAATATATGTGTGAATGAATATATGCGTGTGAGTGTGTGGGTGTGGGATGTGAGTTTGTGTGAGTGTATGGGTGTGAGTATGAGTATGGGTGAGTGTGAGTGTGGGATGAGTGTGTATGAGAGTGTGAGTGGTATGTGTGTGTGAGCATGAGATGTGAGAATAAGTGTGAGAGTGTGAGAGTGTAGTGGTAATCGTTCTGCTGCTGCGTGAGTCCCCTCTTTCAAGGCCTTCCTGTGACATCCTCTCTGTAAACTGATGACCCTGTTAGAGCAGGATGGAGTCCCCACTGCTGTCACTTCCTCCCCTCATCCCAGCTTCTTCCTCCTCTCTCCAGGGGCTGCTTGTGTGTGTGAGAACGGCACAGGGAACTCTTGCAGCCCTTGAAAGGCCCATGAGCAGGCCAAGCAACACCCCTTCCCCCAGTGCCGCCCCAAGGTTGGCGAGTCAGAAAGCTCTACTGGAAGTAGGCCAGGATCCCCTGTCTCGGCCCTGCTGCCCGCCACCACCTCCCCACCCATCTGGAGACTTGCACATTTGTAGCATTAGACCAGTGAGTCGTCTTGGCAGTGATGCTACTGAGCCTGCAGGACTTATGGATTCCTTCTAAGTGCAGAAATAAAAGCACTGCAATTTGATTCTCGGGGGTATCTATGGCCCTGACCCTAGCAGGTGCTCCAGCCACCCCAGGGGCTCCCAAAAGCTGGTGACACTTCCACAGGTAACCCCAAGTGGTGAGGCGAGGGGGCTAGGCATCTGATCTGTGTCCTGCAGAGCTTGCAGCTTGACTGAGACAGGGAGAAAAGGAGCAGGCAGGGCTCCTGGCTTCCAAACTCTGAAGCCAGGGACAGCGCAGTGGTCCCTGTTACCTCCCCTCATGTGAATGTCTGGGTGGCTTCCTGGAAGAACTGGACAGGCTTTGGGGCAGGCAGGTTCAGATCCTGGTTCTGTCCCTTTCCGGCTGTGGGATTTTGGGTGAGTCTCAGTCTCCCTGAGCCATGGAGTCTCAAGGGCTCTCCATTGTGAGGTGGTTGTGATTTAGGCCGGTTCAGTGCCCAGCACAGAGTGAGCACGTGGTAAATGCTAGCTGCCAGAGCTGCCGCTATTTTATTTGCTTTCTTTACTCTCTGTGACTCTGGTGGCCTTCGGTGGTGGTTCTTTGGGGCAAGGCTGTCACTGGGGCAGGCTCTGCACAGGAGGCTGCCTGGGAACCTGCAACTTCGCCTCCCCTAGGCAGGAAGCACTGGTGTCTCCTGCCTCCGGGGAAGACAGAAAAGGGCAGGCCCGCCTGCCCAAAGGCCAGGGGTGCTGGGCTCCGTGGTGGAGCCCAGGGAGGCTTGGTCCTCCCAGCCCCATGCTCCTTCCGGTTCCACGACCTCCTTCCCAGTGCCTAGAACAGGCTGAAGGCAGTTAGGAAGCGTGTGCGCCTTCCCAGGTGGGAACCTGCCTCTGTCCTCCTTGTGTTTTCCTTTACCATGACGCCTGTTGCTCATAGGTACAAATCAAACGAAGAGTATGTATATGTGCGAGGCCGCGGCCGAGGGAAATATGTTTGTGAGGAGTGTGGAATTCGCTGCAAGAAGCCCAGCATGCTGAAGAAACACATCCGCACCCACACTGACGTCCGGCCCTATGTGTGCAAGCACTGTCACTTTGCTTTTAAAACCAAAGGTAAGAGACAGTCAGCTGGGCACTGCCCCTGCTGGCTGCAGGGAGCTCCCTTCTGGGAGACCCAGCACAGAGCTCAGGGGCCCACGCCTCTCTGCTGGGGCCTGGAGCAACCCCACTTCCAGACCCACTCGGTGCCCAGTGGCAAAGCAGCTGGCTCCAGACCAGGCATGGCTCCCTTGGCTGCCCCCAGCCAACCCCTGGACCCTGCACACAGCCCTCGCCGCCCGCCCCGTCCAGTGGCGCTCTCCCAGACTTTCTGGTTCCCCATCTCTCATCACCCTTCCTCTCACATGTCTCCTGAGCCGCTGACCAGCTGGCTTGATGAGCCCCAGCATCCACACTCGTCACTGCCACTCTTGCATTTGGAACTCCATTCCACTCCAAGCCACCAAACACACTCGCATGCCCACCTCCACCTGCCTCTCCACTCCCACCATGGCCCTGCCCACCCAGCTTCTCTGCACCCCTCAGCACAGGACCGGCCCTGTCACCCGGGCCACACTTCACAACGGGGTCAGGATAGGCTTTAAACAGTCAGTTGAGGGCGTCAGCATCCCAGGGAGCTGCAGTGGGCTGTGATGGCGGCCTGGCCTGCTGTGGCCACCTGGGACCCAAGTGTGGACAGACAGGCTGAGGCCATGAGGTTCCTAGATCTCACTCTTCTCCTGCAGGGCAGGCAGGGAGGGCCCTGGAAGCTTGCTTGCTGCAGACCTAGGTACCTCAGAGGGAGGACCGGGGCTCTCCACATCCCTGGTGGCTTCAGCCTCCTGTGCTTTGCCGACTCCTGGGTCAGGGTTTGGACACAGGGTCTTCTCTTCTCCTTTGAGCAAGTCGGGAGCCTCCACACCAGCCCCACAGGAGCCACGTGGTTTCTCAGGGGATGAAACTCAAGGGTAGCCTTTGGCTTTGCCACCTGGTGACCTTTCTTCTTTGGGAAAGCTGTTCCCAGTGACAGAGGGTGGCATCCGCTTTGGAGGGTCCTGGTGGAGTCCTCTGGCCTCCCTTACTGCTTCCATGCTCTCGCTGCCTGGCCCCTTCTGTTCTCTCTGTACTCTGTCTGGGGCCAATTTACCACATCCCCTGGTTCAGCGACCTCCTCTCTCACCATATTTCCATTCTGGTCTCCTGACTCCATGAACTGATCCCCACCCTACTCTGTCCCCTCACCATCATCTTCCAGTTAAGTTCAAATGTTCCTGCCAAGGTTTTGGTTTCGATGGAGGAGCCTGCCCTCCACTTTCCTTCCCTCGTCTTCTTCTCTCTTAGTGTTTCATAAGAAATGCCTGAAAGGTGCCCAGAGAGGGAAGATAGGCCTGGAGCCCCCTGCCCACTCCATGGCTGCATCAGAGCATGTCTCGGCCCGGACAAGTGTTCTGTCCCCCACACATCCTCTAATCCCACTTCCTCCGGCCTTAGGCAGCCAGTTGGGATTTTATGGAAGACAGAGATGGGGATCATTGACTGACAATTTAAATAACATTCTTCAACTCTAAAAGTAGAAAACTTCTTGACCAAGCCCCCTTGAAAGTGAAGACAGTGACCCCGGACACAGAATTACTAATACTTAGAACACAGGACACACCTCATGGACATCACCCCATTGCCTTCCTCTCTGTGGACAATTAGCTCTCTCCCTTCTCTGGAGTAGGTGGCAAAAAGCTGCAGCAAGAAAGGGTCACAACAGCTGTCCCTACTTCCAGCATGTGTCCAGGGAAGCACACCTGTGCCAAGCCCACAACCCAGGTTGCCCACTGCCTTGGGGAGCCACCATGCTTCCATGTCCAAGCAGTCTCCCCAAGGGGACCCACTCAGTTCCCTTTGCCTCATCCGTTCCAGGTCCCTAGCAGGAACCACTTTCCAGGAGATGCCTTCATTGGAAGCCATGCCAAGCCTGTGTGCAGCCCCTTCCCGGATCTCTCTGAGCCAGCACAGAGCCCTGGAGGGTCCAGATAGCATAATCTGAACTGAGGGGCTGGAGAACTTCTACATGTCTGGGGTGTAGAGTGTCCCCCGAGGGAAAGCTGCCCTGAAGGCCAGGCCCGAGAGGCTGTGCTCTCAGCCAGGGATCTGGGAGTGTGCTGAGTGCTCCCTCAAGTGTCCACAGGGGCTTCTAGAAGACAAAACCTGCCAGAGCCAGATCAGGGAACAGATGGGAAGTGGTGGCATCTCAAACTCTGTGACTAGCAGAGAGGGGCCGGTTGGAGTGGCAGTAGATAGAAGCAGAGAAGGCTCTCCTTAGCTCTCTCTGCAATATGGGGGTGAAGGGGGTAGGAGACACTGGACCTCCTGTCTGTCCTGGGACCAGGTGTCTTCACAGAGTGCTGGGCCCTGTCAGCCATCAGCTCAAACAACACAGTCTCCTTCTCTCTGGGTCTACCTGCCTTCCCACCAGGCCTGCCCCAGGTGTCCTCCTGCCCTCCTGGCACCACCACCTGGCACCACCACCTGGCTGCGCCGGTGCCTGGGGAGCCCTTCCTGTCTGTCTCTGTCTGCCGTCTGTGTCTCGTCTCTGTGTTAGACGTTGTGGCGGCAGCTCAGGCCTCTGGGAGCTAGCTGAGGAGTGTGTCAGTGGGTGGGCCTAGGGAGGCCCGTGGGTGGCCCTGGGAGGGTAAGAGTCCTGTTTCCTCTTCTCAGATGGTTCCCAGAGGCCAGCAGAGTAGCTATGTGGTGTCCAGGCCCTTGCGCCGATTGCCTCAGAGGACAGAGATGAATGTCGTGGACAGGCCTCGGGTCCATTGAGCCAGCAGGGGTGGGACCAGGGCAGTGGGTCAAAGCCCAAGGAGGTAGACAGAGTTACTGGCCAATGCTCTTAAGGGAGGTTCTGCCTCTCTTCCAGATGCCCATCACTGTCCACTGCTTGCCTCTCCTCTTCATTTCAGGGTTGTTGGGCTTTGGGTGGGGTCTGGGATGACTGTGATAAGCTGCAGACTCTCCTCACAAGCCCCTTGACAGGGAAACAATGTCCAGGCTGCACCTGCAGCCACCTGGTCCACCTCCCCAGGTCACAGAAGAGGAGACAGGCCTGGAGAGGGCAAGTCACAGAGGGAACCCAGACAGCACTTAGGGCTCTCATCCAACAACCACTCCTGTGACCCTCAGATCCCTGATTCCTCCCTACAGTCCCCGGTGTGGGGGCAGGGAAGAGGCAGGCCTTTGAGGGATGCCCTGGTTCCTTCTCCTGAGAGCCCTGAGGCCCAGAGCGAAAGATAAACCATTTCATCATGAGCATCATCTTGGCATCAGTCCTTCACACCCAGCACGGTGCGCAGCAGAGTCCCGGGTGCTCAAGAATGAGTGATTGTCATGGGAGTGGGGGGATGCTGTCTGCCAGGCACACTCTGCTGCCACTCCACATGCGTCACCTCATCAAATCCTCCCACATCCCCATGAGGCAGGTGTTACTTCACAGCTGCAGAAACTGGAGCGCAGAAGGTTAAGGAACTTGCCTGAGAGCCCACAGCTAGCAAGTGGCAGAACCTTCAGTGAAGCCCATAGCTGCCAAGCTCCTAAACCATCTGGGTTCCATCTGCCTCCACACAGAGCCAGCAAGGTCCCCAGAGTGCTGAGACCCAGCTCTAGACGGGCTCTGCACTAACTGGTACTGTGACTTCGGGCCACTTGGTTCATGGTGTTGGTTTACAGGACCCTGCTGTCACCCAGTATAGCCAGTGATCTTGTCTAATGGTGTCATCAGTACCTGAGCCCAGAGTTAGGTCAGAAGCAGGGAAAACTTCGGCCCAGTGGCGGTGAATCCCATGGACTGTGAGGTTCTTTCCAGCACTTTGCTTCTGCAACGAGAAGGGCAGTGCCCACACGTGGCCATTGTGTACCCATTGTGTGCCCAGCATCTAACTTGGTTGAATAGAGACCTAAGCCATCCAGGTAGAGCAGGCGTAACAAATGTACTAGCCCGCATGAGTGGTGTTTATGGCCCCCTGCGGCCTGGGGCAGTCAGGGGAGGGTGGGCCTGGCTCCAGACCTCAGGCTGGTGGGTGTCTCAGATGCATGGAAGACCCCAACTGCCTTTCCCACTTCCTGATTGCCCTACTCAGGCTTTGCCTGCTCATGGCAGTGAGGGCGGAGGCCCACAAGTTTGGCTGGGGGACTCCCTGGCCACAAGATGATTGGAATTATGGTTCTGCTCCCCCTATGGCCAGGAGTCGAGCATCCAGGTTTCTGCCCAGTTATAGGAGGAAAACTCACATTGGGAAGGATGGAGTCATGGGCTAGGACCAAGGGAAAGGAAAGCTGAAAGGAAACAGCTTCTGACCCATCCCTACTGCCCTTGACTTGCACACCTCAGGGAAGCCCTGCCTAAGGTTTCCTGTTAACCTCTCAGCAAAAACCTGAAGCTTCCTTAAAATTCTCAGAATGATCCAGAAGCACCCTTTGACTCATCCATGTGTTCTCTCCCTGTTTACACATCCGTTGGTCTATTTCTCCCATGCTCTGCTCTGACAGTCTTCCTGTTCACTTATCTGCCCACCGATCTTCTCATGCTATCTATTCCTCCCATCCTGTCTTCCCACCCATGATCTTTCCATCCAGCTCCTCATTCTTGAATCTTCCTGTCTGTCCACATGCAGTTATATGTGCTTCATCCACCCATCCAGCCAGCATCATTCCATTCATTCCTGTCTCCATCCTCCCATCCAGCCCTCCACCTTCCCATCTATTGACCCATTTTCCATCCATACCTCCATCTATTTTCTCCCTATACTCATCTGTCCCCTGCCTACTCATCCCTATGTACTCATCCAGTATCCCGTCCTCTGACTATCCTCCTCCTCTTCTCCCTTCTCTCTATGTTTTCTCTATCCACTTATCTATCTATTCACCAATCTCTCTATAAATCCATTCCAGGAGCCATGTATCTCTCCATTCTCTCCTCCATCCATCCATTCACACTTGTCAATCCATCCATAAGATCAATGAGACACAGCACCTGCCTCAGAATTTTTATTGTGTATTATGTGAAGGACCCTATGGAATAAAGTCATCTCCATGGCCACAGTGAACACAACACAGGTTGGGAGTGGCTGTTGGGCCCAGAGGAACATCCTGAGGCATCTGGCCTGTATTCTTCAGGGCAGACTGGGATGCTCTGCCTCTCCTTCCCAGAATACTTCTGCCACTGAGCTCTGCAGCCGGTGAAATGCTGTGTACATGTGGAACCTGACACTGCTGCTGCTGTTCTCTTGATTTCGCAGAGCTGCTTGCCTCTGCCCATCAACCTGTGGGACTGGAGCTGCAACTCAGGGCAAAGCCAGCCTCCCCTCTGAGGGCTTCATAGGCAACAGCAGGGCAGAACCTTGCCCGAGCCTTCCCTGGACCACCCTGGCCCTGTGTCTGCATGGTCCATTGGCCTAGAGAAACTGAGGCTCAGGAAGGGGACTCCTCAAAGGAAACCAGGCTTGGGCCCCCAGCCCTGTGGCTCCTGGGTCCCTGGTCAGTAGATGTCCCTACTCTGGTCTTCTGTCCTCTCTCCATTCCTCGCAGTAACTTTGCCCTGGTTCCTCTTCCCAGCCCCTAAGAGTCTGCCCTGTGGGCTGCCCTAGAAGTGTTCTCAGCCAGAAGGGCATGCTTAGTGCTCACCCACCATACTGGGAGGTGGGAGCATCTCATGGTATCCCAGCACTTGATGTGGCCAACAGTCCTGATGAGTGTCACCAGCTCCTGGGCCAAGACTTAAATCATAAGCAGGAAAAACCTATCGCATTGAGTTGACTTTTTATTTCTTTTTTGTTTGTTTTTTAACCAGCA